ATTTCAATAAAAATTTAAACATTTAATTAAAAATTTTAAGTAAATTTATATATTTAATGCAAGGTTTTATCAAATTTTAAGAGTTAATTAATTAAAAAAATTCTGAAATTACTAAATCAATAAATTAACCGTTATATTTTGATGGTTTCGAAAATTTTTAAAAATTTCCATCCTACATGTATTTTGCGTACAAAGGCAGCCAAGGCTCACTGAATCGACATAATGGTCCTAGACGTACTAACACCTAACCCATTAGCTGTCATCAATGAAATGACCACATGGTGGTTCTTTAAAGGACGTGCATCCCGACAGGTAAACAGCAAACCAAGCATACGAACCAGTGACATGGGGCAGAAATACGACAACCTTTATTGATGTTTACCTTGATCAAATTCTATAACGGGTCAATGAAATAATGGTCCTAGACGTACTAACAGCTAACACATTAGCTGTATCAATGAATAACACATGGTGATTTTTTAAAAGACGTGCATCCCCACAGGTAAACAGCAAACCAACCATACGAACCAGTGACATGGGGCAGAAATACGACAACCTTTATTGATGTTAACCTTGATCAAAATTCTATAACGGGTCAATGAAATAATGGTCCTAGACCTACTAACACCTAACCCATTAGCTGTCATCAATGAAATGACCACATGGTGGTTCTTTAAAAGACGTGCATCCCGACAGGTAAACAGCAAACCAAGCATACGAACCAGTGACATGTAGCAGAAATACGACAACCTGTTTACCTTGATCAAATTTTATAACGGGCCAATGAAATAGTGATCCTAGACGTACTAACAGCTAACACATTAGCTGTCATCAATGAATAACACATGGTGATTCTTTAAAAGATGTGCATCCCCACTGGTAAAACAGCAAACCAAGCATACGAACCACTGGCATGAGCGGGAATATCACCACTTTTATTGATGTCACAGTGATCAAATTTTACAAAAGGTCAATGAAATAATGGTCTTAGACGTATTAACACCTAACACATTAACTGTCATAAATGAAATAACCACATGGTGGTTCTTTAAAAGACGTGCATCCCCACAGGTAAACAGCAACCAAGCGTCAGATTCAAAGGCATGGGCAGCGTTATCACGACCTTTATCGATGTTTAGACCTGACAAACGGGCGGTTTGGGTCGGGTTAGGGTCGAACCAACTCGGGTGATGGATTAGATGGGTTGTGTTATAAATGAGTTATGGGTTGAAAATATTCAACTTTAATCCGATCCTAACGGGTTATGGGTTAATCCGCGGGTTAACCTTATTTCATTTTTTATAATTATTTTTCGTTAATTTTATTATACACAAATAAAATTATATATATCTAAATATAATTAACA